CTAGCTATGACACAATATCAAAGAAAAGTACAGAAAAGATGACTCAATTTACAAGAGGAGCACTCATGCCTCGGATTTCATTTGCAAGTACCACTGCGAAGTTATGGTGGCTTTTTCTTCACCCCAAGTCAACCCTCATCCGTGAATACCCACCCAGGGGAACGTCTCAAAAACCCTGAGTTATCCAGACATGCCTCCGTCATCCATCAACTTTTCTCCGCGCGAAATGTAATCTGAGATGTCTCCTTCCCAAGTGGAGTAGGTGCCCAGGCTACTCAAACCATACCAGAGAACATCACCAGGAGGCGGACCACAACACCTTCCATCGTTTGCTTGTTTTTATAGTGTCAGCTGCAATCTCGCAAGCGAAGTCTTGGCGCGCACAAAGCTCAATTTGTAAAAACTCATTTCCAATATTCAAAATTCCACGCCCGTCGAGACTGTATCCATCGTTCGCATCATCTTGTGAACTTGTCCGAATCCCTCTTACGTCCATCCCAAAGAACTGTCTCCCAGATTTGTGCGCCACGCTTTGCTTCCTCCGTCGGGTATAGATATCGGCGTGGGCGTGTATTTGGTGACCGGCTGAGGCCAGAGAAAGTCGACGAGAGGTGTGGTCATTGAAACGAGGATGTACTAGGTCGTACTTGTAGACTTGATGAAGCTTAGTTGAGAATCGGACTCTTTGGGAGTGAAAGATTGACATGGTGGAGTAATTTGAATTTTTGCCTCGTGGGCCAACTTCTTTGATATTGCGAAATTTGACTGAACTTGGCTCTGGGAGAATATTTCACTCCCAGGTTCGTAGAGGACACCGCGTACAGGTGTTCAGTCTTGCCCTCCTGTAGACTTCATTGTAATACTTGTCTGAGAGATATGAAACCTATTTGAGTTCTTAGGAGGGTTTCTGTAATGATAGAAGTGAACGTTGACCGTCAAGTCAATACTGCACGAATCGTAAGATATTGGGGATTTAAGGATCAGAGATAAAAGGTTAGGATCAGTGAGGGTTTTGGTTTTATTGAACTTATATTTTAGTTATCAAAAGTGTTAGTTTAATCTTTATCTAGTTATCCATCCATGTTCTACCTCGCTTAGGTAGAAACATTGTGTTCTGATTACGTGACGGTATAACATTCCCACTTCCTAGATCATTGCCAACCGGGATCTCGCCAAGGCTGGTAGCGATCGAAGATGAGTAGTCTTCATCTGCTCCGCACTGCGTGCAGTTTAGCCTAGTGTGTCTAGATTTCAACAAAACCCCCGCAGCTGCATTGATTGTGCGCATTTTCGTGTTTGAAAGAGAGAGGGAGGTGTGTTTATTGTACAACTTGAGTCTTAGACTATCTAGCACATTGAGCTCCTCTCTGGCCCAGGCTACACCTTGTACAGAGCTCCTATCTTCTTTTGTCAATTGTAAGATCATTGATATATTGCCCGTGATTAATAGCTATCCAGCTCAGTATTTACCCAAGGAGTTCGGCCACCTTTTCCACGAAATCTTCTATTAAAAAAAAGAAAAAATGCAGCAATGGAAACTGCGCGCGCGGGAGAAAGTCTCAAAAACTTGCACCCGCAGCCTGGCAAGGCCTAGACACCTGGACCACATGAGGTGCGGATATTCATCTATATCTCCCTTCTTTGTAATATTCGAGGCCGACTTGATCCAATCCAACATCTCCGTATTGGGTGCTGGGTATGCTCCGAAAACTCATCGGATGGCTTCTCCTCCAAGACCAAGAGTAGGTGTTGGAGGCACTGGGGTTCCAAATACAGCACTGTCGATGATTATATTGCAATTGGGTTGTTTTTTTTCTCTATCTATGCTATGAAAGTAGTTATAGTGTCATAGCTAGATAGGCTGCGTACACTTAATGATTTAAAAAAAAAATAGTTAAATTAAGTATTTCTTATTACATAAAAATTACATCGTATGATCAAAGACTCCAAACTCCAACATGTACCGACAGTATGTGATGAATAGGGCTTCGACCCTCCCATCTGATCTGATGCTGGTCAGCTTCATGATGATGGTGGTATGGGGATGTATTGAGAGATGAAGACGGTACAGACCGCAAAATTGATTGGGAATACTCATCGAAGTGAGGATTGTGTTACTCAATCTCTGCTCTGCAGACTCTATAGTGAGAGCTGGAGGTTTGTAGAGGACACCACTAACAGGTGTTGAGAATAGTCCCCCGCGAGACAATAGATTTTGTGATGACTAGAGACTATCCTTTTTTAATTAAGTCGCTACACAACTTTCGATCTGCTGCAATAAAGTTGAACGAAATCCGATCTTGGGGAAAAGCCTCTGTCGCAATCTCATCTCAATACATGAGTAGCGCCAGAGCTTCTGGCTGTGGCCGGCACCACTGACTTCCGCCCTAGTGAACTCGCTACGGACAATAAATACCCCGCGACGGATCTGCTCTTCCGGCTGACCATAGCTGAACCTGTCACGTATAATTGAATCTCCGGACTCCGTACGAGCAGGTGGCTCGCACGGACGGAAAAATGCCGCTTCTGGCCTAGCGACGACAAGCATGCAACGAGTCCAGCGTGCCAGTTGAGCCGTCACCCTTGAGTGAATGCCCACATATCTGTCAATTTTGCACATTTAATTCACGTCAGCTCCCCACCCCCAGAGTGCTATCATAGACACGTAAATACTCAAACATGGCAGACAGCCGCAGCCTGCTCGCCGAATTAATTGTAGGGGCGCTGTGTCCTGGCCCACACTTCTTCACTAACCCAAGTCACACAGGACGAGTATGCAAGTAAACTCGATGACTCCGCTGTCCTAGCCCTCGCCTCCGACTTCGACCTCGCCGATCCGGACCAGGCGACGGCGGCCCGTGCCGTCTTAGACTTTGCCGGCGAGAGCGCGGCGCATATGAGGCACCGAGATAACGATGATTTCCCGCCGAGTCCCGGCCAGCAGGTTGTGCCGGCAGACGACGCGACAAGCCTCACGCGCATGTTTCCCGCCCTCTCTACATTCGATATCAAATTTATCCTCAACAAGTTCGAGGGCGACCTAGCTCGTGCGACCGATGAGCTTCTCACACAGTCATTCCTCGAGGAAAAGGGAGATCGTCTGCGCGGCATCGAGGGCTTTGCCGGCTGTACAACTCCCGCGCGTCACGCCAAGCGTGAGAGACGTAGGAAGGGCAAAACTGTTAGCACTGACACGTCTACGACAACAAACGTCACCTCCCCTGCCTGCATCAATGGATCGTGGGACCTGGGCCGCGAGCACATTGAGTTCCTCGCCACACGCTGCGGTATGCCGTCGTCGCAAGTTGCCGCTCTCTACCACGAGATGGGTGCCTCACTCCCGCAAACCATCCGTCGCATTCTCGCCGCCCATATCGAGGTCGACCTTCGCGCTGAAGACGATACCATCCTACAGAACGCCGTCCACACGCTTCGCCCCGAATTTCCTACCATCCCACTGTCGCATCTGAAAGCTCTGTGTCAAATTACCCACCCAAACCTGAGCGACGCACGCGAGATTGCCGTTGCCCTCGTATCCCATCCGCAGCCCCGGCCGTCACAGAGAATTGAGCTCACTATTCGCCACGCCCCCCTCCACCCTATCTCCTCAAGTCCGTCACCTTGCACTGAAGGAACTGGCCGCTCTTTGCGTCACCCAGCTGATGCTCACCTTATCGCCGACAGAGCAGCGCATCTACGAGAGGCGCGCGATGAAGCGTTCTCAAAGGCTGCAGCTGCATATCGACGTGGCAAATCTGATCACCTCATGGGAGCGGCGGCCATTCATTACGCTGAAGAGGGACATGCTTATCACTTCAAAGCGCAAAAGCAACTGAGCGCTGCTGCCGACGCACTCGTAGCCCGACAAAGCTCCTTAAATCATCTAGACCTGCATGGCGTTAGTGTTAGTGATGCCGTACGTATAACTCGAGAAAAAGTAACTACCTGGTGGCATGAGCTCGGAGACACTCGATATGGCGCGGCAAGGCGCGAGTATCGTGTCATTATCGGCGTCGGTCGCCACAGCGAGGATGGAAAGTCTCACATTGGACCGGCTGTGGCCAAGATGCTGATGCGGGAAGGATGGAAGTTTGAGGCCGGGAAGGGAGTGCTAGCAGTCACGGGAGTTACAAAAAAGAAGTAGATGAAATCGTCCCACGGCACCTTCCAACGGAGCTTCAGGCACGAACATCGATATATACGGCCGACCGAAGAATGGTCAAAGATCTCCATCCAGTATGACTTCCTGCTCGGTTACGTATATGACGCCTTTTATAGCAAGTCTCACGACAAATGCTCATAAGGCCCACTATTTCTGGAAAGATCTTTTAGTGGCTCGGTGAGTTCAGTGAATACAATCCGTCACAATTCACTACATTTTCGAAATGGTGTAAATAAAATGGACTTTTTAATGTCTGAACCAGTCACGTTGAGGTCCAAGAATATGTCACGATTATAACACAATAAGTTGGAATCTACTGTTATTAAACGAACATCTAACAGCTGTAATTAATACAACAAATCTTATCATTCCGCCTAGTAATATGCAACACGTCTATCATACAGATGTCATGCAATTCAGAAAATTTCGCCGCAGGCTTCAACTTATCAAAAGTCAGAGACTGATCAAGTTACACGTTATGACTCTCAAATTATCTTATGTACGCAGCCTTGGTAGCGTCCCTCAAGTTGGCTCACAAAAGCTATATCCTATCAACCAATCTAGTTTTTTTGAAGAGGTTTAGAATCCTAGGCTCAGCAAAATAAATTTATAGAGTACTCGGAAATGGTAAAATTATTGGTCAAGTTAATTTGCGCGGAAACTGAAATTGGAATCTTCGTGAAAATATCAGAGCGATGATTTAGGTCAATTACAGCTGCCTAAACCTGAGAATGTGAATCCCAAGATTTTCTTGATATGATCTTACCTCAATGTTCTCGCACAATCGAGAGGATGCTGTGGATTAGTGCTTAAGGTGATAGAATAAGAATGACTTCAATTAAGCGCGCTCACTTCCTCTTAAACGAACGGCTTGGCCGTATTTTTGTAACTTTGTAATGAGTTGGTCCCCCTGTTTGACTACATCGCTGTACTGTTTGTTTTTGTTGTCGGGCCGGTTAGTCTCGATTATACCACTGCCTGTGACGCGGTCAATAGTGCAGGGGATACGTTGAGCAGCAATAAATTTGGCTAGATCCCTAGATTAAAATTAGAATGTGTCGCCCTATCTTAAAATGGGATTTACCGATCCAAATAGTCCACTGTCACACCAAATTCTTTAGCCATACTTTCAAGCCCAACGACTCTATAACTTTGTAATAGCTGTTGATATGCACGTAGACGCATTTCTTTGACGAACCAGCCGCGGTGTTCATAAAGATAACGATCTTGCCGTAAGAATTCGACTTCAACCTCGGCAAGTGCTTCAAAAAATGATAGATAATTACCTGCATATAAACCTCCGACTAGTTTAGTTAATGGAGAGAAGTTTACAGAAGTTTCTGCCTCTGGTACATCTTGACCGAGCGTAGTTAAATTAACAGCGGTTTGGCTAGTTATATCGGGTGTTGCTTCTTTTATTTCATCGTCAGCTCCAGGACCAGCGGAAAGTTTCCCAGACAATGCTGATATTTTATCTCGACCGTCCCCGAGAATAGCTTTGATTTCAGGTGCATCAACAACCTTGGATTTGAAGTGGCCGCGTTTTAAAGAAACAGATCCAACTAGGACCGAGTAAATAACTAGTGATGAGTACGAACAAAGCTCATAGCTGGTAAAAGTGGAGAGGCTATCAAGAAGGAGGGGTGCAGAGGCTTCGTATTGACGAACGGTTAGGAGATAAAGCCCTTGATATGCTTTTAATCGATTTCTTCGGTCCCAGTCACCACCACTGTCGACCAGAGCTTTAGCACGATCAATCTGCTTTTTAATGAGAAGCTTATCTCCATAGAATATTCCCATCCGGACAACTGCTAGAACAATATCAATTTTTGTACCTAAAACGCCTGTCTTCTCAAAAACATCTTCGTATGCTGCGATTGCTCGGTCCTAAAACAATTTAGAAATCGCAGTCCAGTTTTTTCCAAGGCTTAGTCTTACTTTGTCACCTATTCGAGCAAGATAATCTGCTTTTTTTCCCCTAGCTGCTTGAACCTCTGTATCTCCGGCCTTCTCTGCAGCCTCTTCCTCTTCCACTTTGAATTTCTCGAGCTCCTCATCATTTTCTTTTTTTAAGCTTTCATATAGACTTTCATTCCATGGGAGATCAAGCTTGGGTATAGAATTCCTACTTGCTACCATCCCTATTGCACTTGATTTTCGTCCGCATCCTTTCGTATCATGTGTAAGAGAAGGATTATTCTCGCCAAAAATCCCTTCCGTCGGGTGCGCGATGTACCGATATAGAGGTGCCATTTTATGCTCTGAAATAGCATTCTGTATACTCAGAAGCGACGCCTGCTGTACAGGCTTAGACGCGTATGGATTGGTAATATTAAAAACATGCTGAGCGAGCGGAAGGAATGGATACTTTGCAAATTGAGGATCGGATCCCATCTTGAGCTGAATGTTGTATGGCAAGAAACAGGTGTTTTTATTATTAAGGACGTTGTTCTTAATTTATTGCGAGACCCCATACTCTTCCCACTGCAACACACGTATGCTCTCATTCAACACGTGATTATTGAGCCGCACTAGGACAAACACGATTGGTGCTGCTAGTACATCAAGTCGCCGCTAATTGGCTACAACGAAGGCTATCTAGACATCTATTATACTCCTTTCTGATATTGTGTCATTGCTAGATAGCTGCATACGCAATTAAAATCTTGTGCAAAAAAACGGACACTATCCACTAATGCTAAAGGAGGTCCTATGAACTTTCGACGTTGTTGAGCCAATTCCTGAATCTCCAAAAATATAACTCCAGATTTTAGAATCCCAGCTAGCCTGCTCCATGATTGCGCTATCATTCCCCAATTAAAGTATAGGGAATCTATAAAGTTTCTCGGTCTGTGGCTAGGGTCGCGACTGGAGGGGAAGAGAGTTGAAGAAAGACTCTAAAATGGAAATAAATAAAGTACAGGATGTAATTGGTAAACTACACGGTAAACCGGTTTTATTGATGCAATAATCGATTCTACATCTATTCCTGCATTAGTAGATCTTGGGTGTACAATATATTCAGTCCTAAGTGATTCCATTGCAAAACGTCTTGACCTCCCGCGCCTAAAAGTTCACCCCGGGAAGCTCAAATTAGCCAAAGATTTCGATAGAACTACTAAACTAATAGCTGATGAGATCTGCTGGACAGAAATCGACTTAGATGGATAGCGTAGTACTATTTGTGATTATGTAATTGCTGGATTAGCGCACAATATTATTCTCGGGGAGCCATGGATGAGGTATAATGTCGTCTACAGAACACGGGATAGAATTTTATATCTGGCTGTGAGGGGAAACCCGAGCTGGTGATGATTATGTCGATTTAATACACTGTATAGAGAAGGAATAGAAATCTAGCTACAACTAACGGGTATTTATAACATTCAGCCCCTCAGTGATTGTCTTGACTGATTTCTTTACCCTAGGCCGAATACTTGCCACCCAGCCACACATTATCAAGAATCACTACGCTGTGGCACTGATGTGGATTCTCGTTGGTCAGTTTATGATCACAATGATTTCACGCACGTGTCTCATGGTTCCGACTAATCAACAATATTAAATATTAATTCATTTTTACTGTCCTGTCTGAGTCTATGATTTTGTAGGACATGCAGGTCCTCTCTGCCTACAGGCCAAGGATACCTATACCAGTAGTATATCCCCTCCTAAGCCTCCCATACAGCTCCCCTCAGACATTACCACCCCTCACAAGTTCTCATTCGATCATACACTAAGAGGAGCCCTTTGCCCTTCATTGTCTCCCCTCTCCAGCCAACAAAACAATGGCCATCAGCGGGCGTATGGCAGCCGGAAAAAATCGCAAAAACCACTGGGTGCGGAGCTCTCCTAATACCGACATTAGGACTAAGTCCGAAGACATAGTGACTCTTCTGAAGCGTTCGAAGAGGCCGATCAGCTGGGCATTGCAGACTTGTGTGTACCTCGAGAATCTCACACTCTGCCTTTTTAGCCTCCTTCTAACTCCTTCCCGAAGGTCGTGCTGAAATATCAGAGAAGTCTTGACAGAGCGTGATTGCTGTATGGTAGCTTAGCCCAACTTCTTTTGTACCGTCCAGGGCGCTGGGGAGTGCCGTTGACTCATCAAAAATTGAATTCTTCATGGCTAATCAGCCAAAATCTTGGTCTTGGCGTCCTCATACGTTCCAAAGTTGAAACCCCCTCGAATGTGTCAGTTCCAGCATGGTCTTCAGAGATCTGTTCCCCCTCTCGCTCCACATCTCAGCCGCCTGTAAATCCTCAAGATGTATAGCTCCATTAGAGCATCAGTCCCCCATATACGAAGACCCCAACTTTGTATATTATGACTTAATCTCCTCCTTGCGGGTTTATGTAGCGTCGTAAATTTGTAGTGAGTGATGGCCGGTAATGATTGAGGCTAGCTCCTGTTTCCAATTGGGGTGACGCCTTCATCGGTCGGCGAGGCGAGATGTTGTTTGGTTAGAAAGAGGTTGAGGACTCAGAAGATAAGGGTGTAAGGCATGATTGAGAAGTCGTCAAATGGAGATATACTTGTGTTTGCTTTCGACTTCGATTCGGATGCGATTTTTCTTAGCTATCCTAGATATGCAGAGCATACTGAGCGATTACAGCGGCACCACTAGAAGGTAAAGAATTCGTCTTTGCCGGCAATTAACAATGAAATGTGAGTAGAGCTTGATACTAAAAAAATACTTGATTTAATACTGTAACACAGGATCGCCAATTAATTTAAATATTCCCTCGCACCACGTGAGCCAATCAATAGCGCACAATGTGCACGGTCGGGTTTCCGTCAATTGGGATCCACACTGATCTGGCCCCTTGGCTTTTTTTAAAAAAACAATCATTAAATGTCCCGAAACCTAAGTAGGGCCCAAAGCAGTATTGCAGTTCAGATAAGAAGTGAGCACATTGGTCTTAACTCTTATCTGTATCGAAGGAAAGTTCCCGGAGTGATTGATCCAAAATGTCAGTGTGGATATCCGTCTCAAAATGTCAAACATATGGTCTTGGCGTGTCCTCAGTGGGCCATGGGAAGAGGAGAGGTGCTTCAAAGGGCAAAAGACAGGTCATTTGCGGAAATGATGAACAGCCCAGATGACATAGAGAGAATAACAAAATGGATCCTGGCAAAAGGCTGGTTTGAACAATTCCGGCTTGCAGGAGAAGTAGAAATAGCACTGGACGAAAGGATGAGACGATGTGGACAAGGATAAGACGGATTTCACACTGTATAAACAGTGTAATCGCACTTCCTGTAGGAAACCTCAGAAACTAAATAGACACGAGACAGACAGTTGTAGGGGGTTTTTACCGAATTTGGTTTCCTCCTGTGTAAATATTATAGCTAGTTATACCTGCATGGGCCCATAGGGTACCTGAACGGGCTAAATGAAATCAAATCAAATCATTAAATGTGTTTTCAGCTATCTAGCTATGACACATGACTGGTGCGCAGGCAGGACCTCTGCTCTCAGCGAGGTCCATATAAATTAGTCATGTAACATTTCTCGATCGGAAGGGGAACGAGGCGAGAAGTTTTGCTTCCCAACCACAAGTGCAGATATTTAGTTGGAGCTCAAAGTTTTGGAGCCTGGAGTTATATTATGATTTTTCTTTTTTTATTATTTTTTCCTATATGGCTGCATGTAATTTAATTAGCTACTATTTGTATAGCGGTTCACGTGGTGGGAACAAGTTGGGCATGTCATAGATATGATCTTAGCTGTAAACCCCGGTCTTTGACCCTCAGGGGAAAACGGGTATATCCTAGGACTTCAAAATAATAAACAAACAAACATGACCGGTGCTATCCATGAAGTGTGCGTGTGGAGAGGAAACATCACCTCTCCACTTCATTCACTGTCGACTGCACGAACGTCAGACGCGTCGACTGCGAGGGTCAATGTCACATCACGACTTTGTCCACAAGCTTCTCGGGCCTAAGTGCCTCGAGAACTCTACAAATTTTGCCCAGGAAACCGGCTGCTTCGGCGACTCACCTGCAAGTCCGTCACCAGCTCTCAGCGGAGACAACATTAACTAGGTCATAGCACGAAGCATGACAGGAAGGAAAACGAGACGAGGAGTGTCGCTTTCCCACCTCAAATTGGAGTATTGGATTTGGAATTTTGGTTATGGGAGTTTGAGGGAGCATTTATATTCTTTCTTATAACTAGCTACTGGTTGTGTAGTCGGTCACGCAGTGAGACCGAGTCGGGCATGTGGGAAGCATGATCTTGGCCGTGTACACCGGTCCTTGACTCCTAGGAGATATAGAGCATAGCTTAGGACCTAAAATTTATAAAAAAAAAAGACCGGTGCTATGTATACATGTTGGATGACTCTTTTGACGTTAGAGACACTCATACTCTAGATTTTATTCGCAAATACTACTATGAGCTATGCCTGCTTACACAAACAGTTGACTCTCCTCCGTAAGTACCCACCAAAGAGACTTTTCATAACCTTTGGTTATACAAGCATGCCTCCGTCATCCATGCATACCAGCGCCGCGAGAAATGTGGTTGTGTTTTGCCGGATTTGAACCAGCGATCTACTGTCTCGAGTGGGATATGTGTCCAAGCTATCCAGACTCTACTTGGCAGACCGGCCAAGACGATGTACCATCGCACCAACTAACCATAGCGGTGTTTATAGTGTCAGCTGCACTCTGGCAAGCAAAGTCTTGGCACGCACCAAGCTCAATTTGTAAGAACTCCTTGCCAAAATTCAGAATTTCACGCCCGTCGAAAACAGATACCTCTTCTGCATCATTTTGTAAACTTGTCCTGAATCCTCTCAAGCCCATCCCAAAGAGCTATCTCCCAGATTTGTGCTCCACGCTTTGTGTCCTCCGTCGGGTATAAGTATCGGCGTGGGCGTGTATCTGGCGACCAGCGAAGGCCAGAGAAAGTCGACAAGAGGTGTGGTCATTGGAATAAGGATGTACTAGGTCATACTTGTAAACTTGATGAGGCTTAGGTAGGAATCGATTTCGTTGGGAGTGAAAGATTTATATGGTGGGGTATTTTGAATCATTGCCTCGTGGGCCAACTTGTTCGATATTGCGAAATTTGACTGAACTTGGCTCTGGGAGAATATCACTCCTAGGTTCGTAGAGGACACCGCGTACAGGTCTCAGTCTTACCCTCCTGGCCCCTTGGCGAGTAGTGCCGTATCTTCCAGTTTCCTTTATCATTTCCTTGAAGTCTTACAACATAAATCTCCAACAATACGCTTAGTTATCCACATAAGTTCAGACAACGGTCAAACCGTAACACTGGCTAAAGAAGCACACATCATCCGGACCTATAGCAGAGCATCTCATGCACTTTATGTCGAAATTATTCGGTATACAGCGATGTCACCTTTCTAAAAGAGAGCAG